CCCAATGTAGATGCTCTGAACTGCCCTCTGGGAAGAGCCTGTGTCTCTCTGGTGACTACATAAGGAGAATTAGGAAGGGGAGCAGCCCGGTGCTTGGAACTGTGCAATGCTTGTAACGCTTGTAACTAAACAGGTGTAGAAAACATGATTCATGCTACCTCTAATATAAAAGTACACTATATTTAGCTGTTAGACACTATTGTTTTGGACAAGAGGATTCTTGTCATAACTTTGTAATGATTGACAGAGTAACTCACAAGAACACAATCTAACCTCAGCTTCAGACGGGTAACATGGAAGACAGTTCCTCTCCCTAAATGCGTGCAGTATAGAATATAGAAAGCAGATAGAAAGCAGTAAATACTTAAAACAGACAAATAAGGTTGGGAAATTGGGAGCATGGAATAAGAAAAAATAAATAATCTTTTTTTTTTTTTACTGTAAAATGAAAATGTCTCCACTTATCTAAACAACGTCAGATGGAAGGACTAGATCATGGCAAATAATATAGCTCACAAATACAGCACCTGTAATGGTATATATGGAGCCTAACAATGATGGCACATATGAAATGCACCTCAACAGGTCAGAGATCAGTAACAAATAGGTCATAATTCAGTTATAAGTCTGGTAAATTTTAAGTCTGATAAGTCTACACACTCACCCTTTTCATCACAGAGTTAAAAAATACTTGCCATTAATTGTACTTACTCCGTAGATACATTTTTTTTTTTTTCATTTCTGCATTATTTAGGTGTGTCATATTGTGGTCATAAATACAGGAAACAAAATACCTGTCTGCTTTTTCTTCAAAGGACCAAGTGGACAGCCTTGTAACCTCCTCTGTTAAAACACATACTTGGCTTTATTTAGCAGGGTTCACGAATCGACACATATGCAACCCCTGTGTGCATGCAGCACGTATGTTAATCTATACATACAGCATACATATGAGGAGTCTTCACAGCTCAGAGATCAAGAGTTCATTTTATCTCCTCTGGGTCGACTGTTGCTCAAACAGATATCTAACTAATCTCATTGAAAGAAGTATCTGGCTGGTAGGGGCACAAAGCTGGGTGCGAATCACAGACCTGCAGGCAGGGGAAATGATCACCTCAAGCAACCGAACAGCAAAACGCCGGTTTGGCTGTGGCCGAGCTTCCTTGCAGGGTCCGCACAAGCAGACAGGCAGCAAAGACTAGCGTATGGCAGCAAGCTGGAAAAGGAGCCCAGCAGAAGTGAAAGCTCGTCTGGGCGCAGACCGAGGGCTCTGAATGTAGGCGATTGCTGCGGCAAGCTGCTGCTCTGCTTATCGATGCTCCAGTACCAGCCAGAAGAGCCACAAAAAAATGAAAAAAAAAAAAAAAAAAGCTGTGCTGTCCCTACAATTGGCTTCTCTTCCACCTTTTACACCGTTACTTTCCTGTGAGATTTCTGGAAGTGGTGCGCATCTCCTGTTTCTACTGAAATCCCTGCTTATTTGAAATTTGATGGCTTCAGGCTCCTGAGAGAAGAGCCACCACATGTGGTTTAGGTACAAAGGGGAAGAGAAAGAGGAAGGGGAAAAAGGAAAGGGGAAATAGACACAAGGGAAAGAAAGGAAACCAGGTAAAAAATCATGAAGCTTTTGCCAGGAGTGTGATAACACGGTACGTTAAAAAGTCATTAAATTCATGTTCTCGAACTTAAAACTTTAAATAAAATTAAATCTTCTGCTTTAAACCAGCCACAGGCCAGGAAATGCAGGCTTAAGAATGGGATCTTTTAAAAGTCATTTGATTCTAGCTTGGTTTATCAGCATACTTACCAGGAGCAAATGTGCCCTCTGCAAATTATACACATCATGAAATCTCAAGCAGTCCTGCCAAGACCTGGTGATAAGTTGCTATAACAGTAGCTTGGGGTTTGAGAAATGCACTTTCCTTCGCACTCACGGCAACAGGTGACCTAGTGGTAATGACATCATTAACACATTTCACCTTTTTAAGCTCTCCCGCTGGTGTTTTACTTATACAAGTTTATGGAGGAATCATTTCATTTTGGTGTTTCAAGTCCCCTGTGTTCTTAGTGGTATTTTTAAGAAAATAAACAGAAAAGTGGAAGGAGACCATCCTCTGGGACATGTGATTTGTGAAGAAACCATATGATTCCATCAGTAAATTCTGTCTTGTATGAAAAAAAAAAGGGAATTTTTATAGCAGATCAGGTAAGATTGCAATCAACCTAATTCCGTTTTCCCTTCAGGAATGGGCAATACCCGCTTTTTAATAAGCAGTTATTGGGTACTTGCCACATTTTCTAACAGATTCTCCAGACAGATATGTTTGCTTTGTTATGCAAATGTAGGTGTGTATACTAAAAAAAAAAAAAAAAAAAAAAAAAGGAATAGTGGCTCAATTCATTCTTTGACTTAGTCCTTACGGCCTCTTCATTCTAGGTATGCTGACAGAAGGATCTTTTGTTACTGTCGTTGCCATGTGTCCATGTACACTCCTGGGTACTGATTCTTCAGAAAATACTACTAAATGAGTTGTTTACCTCTTCTTTTCAAAAGCTATCTTTCCTACACCTCTCGATTCTTTTTATCGTGTAAATACAAAAGAATCAAAACCCACTAACTTCTATTTAACGATTGCAACTTAATAACATCCTACAATTGAGATTTGTGTTTACAAAAACATTTGTCCTTGACAACTTGCTCCCTACAGCAACAATATGAAAACAAACCTATTAACTTCTGTAAGTTATTTAAAAGGGGAAAAAAAAAAAAAAAAAGCTAAACCCAAAGTACTGGTGGTAGAGCATATAGCAGCAAAGAGTACAGTATATGGGAGCATTTCTGAACCGTATGGGGTGTATGGGGCCAGGTTCTATCTCCAGTGGTATCAGTTGGACGTTTATCGCTGAATTCAAAAGGATCAGGCCAAGACTCCCACACTGAAGAAGAGGCTTTCAAATGGGATTTGTGTCGAATATCCAAACAAATCTGAGTATTTGACACCTTCATTATGCTCTAAATGCTTCAGTACCACAACAATACAAGACAGAACCGGGTTGTCTGACGAGAAGAAAGAAGTAATTGCTGTCCTCGGCTACCTAATGGGAGATAACAGAGAAGGTGGAGACAAACTCACACACAAAAGGACGGGAGGCAATGGACAGGGGTGGAAGGGAGGGAAGGGAAGGGAAGGGAAGGGGGAAGGTCTCTGTTCAATTTTCCGTGTTTAATCCTTAGACAGTACATTCCTAGACTGTAAAGAGACGGAGACAGATCATTCTGTGATTTATTTTTGTTCGGAATATGATTTGCACCTGCTCAGAAAGTATTTGGCTGGTACACAGTTGTAATTTTTTTTTAATGTTGTACTAAGCCTAACCATAAATTCATGTTAAGGAGCCCTTGTTGGAAGTCAAGCAGACACAGATTAGAAAAACAATACAATGGATGTTTGAAAAGCTTTCCTTCTCCTTCAAGAAGACTCATGAGACTTGTACCTTGTTTGAAAACAGTACAACAGCAGTTCAACAAAAATTGCCGATAAAATGGGGATTGAAAACAGTTTGTTTGTTGTAGCTAGTAAAATCGAATGTACCCTGTGATTGTTCACAACAAATGTCTTTGCTTAGGCTTTGTCTTTTTATGTTTTTTCACTGTACTGGGAAAGTGGAAGCATGATCAATTCCACATCAAGGGAATGAAAACAAGGATTCTATTTATGGAATGATTGTGGTCCTCAAGTCTGAATTTAGAAGATATTCAGTCTGTTCAGGCCAATTCTTCAAGTGGCACAGATTTGTGTAGGCCTAGCTGAATCTTAATGGTGTTACACCAATTTGTGGCTGTTGAGGATCTGGATTTACTGTAAAGACTCTCAAGTACAGTTCCCAAAGCTCCTGGTACAGAAGTTGAATGGGGCCTAAGAATGCACAGGTTATGGGTACACCAACAAGCTACTGTAGGGCATCAACATATGGCACATCTATTACCACGGAGGTTTTGTCCCCATACTGCTTTTACTCTCTGTTACTTCGCGGCAAATATGAGTTGTTCTGTACCGTCATCACCAAGCAAGTTACTTCCTTCATGCCTAAAGTAGAGGCTGACGTCCCAGGCTAGCTCCTTGCAAGTTAATCCTTGAAATCCTTACTGGACACTTGGTCATTAATCCATACCTTATTTTTCAGGTTCAGTGTGGGGAAAGACGTCAGAAATACCTGCAGAGACTAGAAAATAAAACAACTCCTTGGTCTCAAGTAGCTTACCAAAATGACCAGACATCTTTCACACTTACATGTCTTGTTGATGGCACACCAAATGCCATCACACCTCTTGAGACAACCATCTGACCAGTCTCATTGTTCAGACTGCATGCCATTAGACACATGCTTCGTAGCTCCCTGTACCTCAGAACTGTATCTTCCCTTTATTAACTTAGCACAAGTAGTAACAAACTCCATCTTCAGCTACAACCAGAACGTTAGTTCTCCTATGCAATGGACCAGTCTAAGGATAAGCGTTTTGTAATGCCACTAAGAACAGCAGTCAATCTCTGTTTACTACAAATAGCGCATTTTCTGTGTTGTAGCAAAGTGTACCTCCATCATTTACTTCACCTGTCTACCACCCTGAGGCCAGTCCTTTAGCAGAAGGGTGCTAGCTGGGTTTCTGATTCCTCACAATTTTCTGCATACAGTGGATATTCCAGAAGTCTTCACAAGACACAGGAGTCTTTCCACTAACAGTGGAAAGATCATCCCCTGGGATGGTCTTGACATCACAGGAGACATCTGAAGTATGATATAGGAAAATTATTCTTACTACAATTACTTTTTAACCAGGAATGGAAATGTCCTGCCTAGCTGACTTTTCGTAGAGCGTCACCTATAGTTTGAGAGTTGAAGTGCCCAGGATATGGGACCATGTTTTTGTATTTCATGAACATTGCAAAGTTAAAGATTTTATTTAAAAGAATTCCATTTAAAAGAAAAATAGTAAATGGCACATCATGTAATTGCTATTTATTTTCATAAACATGAGGTATTTCAAAGTGCTATAAGACGCAGCACTAAATGTACATCGTTGGAAGAAATTAAACACAGAACTTTGCAGTTACCCAGTTCTATGCACCAAACATTAACAAATACATTAACTGGAAGAAACAGGCTAGGAAAAGGCATATATAGTAAATTTCTTTACAAAAGTTTCTTAGTTCAAAAAAGTGATAAAGTAATATCTACTCAAAACTTTCACAACTCATTTTCATACGAAAATATAAGTATCAAATTTAGTTATGTATCAGCATCATACTAAAGTATACAGGCAATGTAAGAATTAGTACAGTACATAACAGAGATTAACAATATATTTGTATACAAAAACATGCTCCTCAAACATTGAGGTATTACAGTACTTAGGTATGAACTTCCAGTCTAATACTGGTAGCAAAAGCCACCTCTCATAACCCAAGACATGTACAAAAGGCAAGTGTGTAGATGGTATTTACAGAAAATTCCCACAGGGGTACAAATGCCAACCCCTAAAGTAACATCTGTTAGAACATAAGCACCATAAAACTTAGGAATGAACATTTTAAAACTCAACTAGATGTCATCAGCAGCTCCAAATGCTCACAACAACTTAAAAAAAAAAAAAATCCCCACCATCTACAGTTCTTAAGGAGAAAAACAAAGGCAGTCCATTGTTGTTTGGTAGTCTTGCAATAAACTCCTTGCAAGAACATCCATTTGCTCCGTACCCGGATAATATAGTTTGTCAATTACTTCAGGGACTGGATTGAAAGTAAAACCAACATTCTTAACGTCAAAAAACACAATTTTTTTTAAAGAATCAAAAATGTGCAAAGTGGCAATGACTGTCCTGGTCAGCCAAAACAAAACAAAACAAAACAAAAGTTTAGCAAGTCCGCTTGTATTCTATTTTCTTTAGCAATTGCTGTTGCCTGGCTTGCAATTTTTCCTTTTCTAGCAATAACTTCTGCTCCTCTGCCTGAAGGGAATGAACATATTCAGTGGCTTTTTTCAAGATCACAACTTTTGCAGCTTTCTCATTTTTAACCAGTTCTGGAACATGGTCCCTTAATGTGAGGAAACTTGACCGTAGATCATTACGTCGCTGACGCTCCAGGATATTATGGTTGCGTCGACGTTCGCTATCCTCTGAATCAGAATTTCGAGGACTTGAACTCTTAGACTTTGGTTGGATCGTGGGTTTTACTGGACGGGGCACCTCGGTTTTTAACTTTTTCTGCGGTGGAGCATCTTCACTCTCCATGTATGGAGAAGGAGCGGCATAATTATGCTGCTGGTGAATTGGTGCACAACGCTTTAAAATCAGTTCATTCTGCTGTGTCCTGACTGATGGAAAAGTGGTATTTTTAGGACGCACTGTAATAGTAAGGGTGGTAACAGCCTTGTTGGAGGAGGAGCGTCTTTTCTCTACCGTCACAACATCTATTTCTTCTTCTTCTTCATCCTCTTCCTCCTCGTCTTCATCATCTTTTGATAAAAGAAAATGGAAAATAAAATAGACGTTATTCTCACAGAAAATACTCTGGACAAGTATCAACCCAGATGTATTTATTGACAAAATATGTACAGTAAAAGCAGCAGTGAAGTAACTGATGGCAAAACCAGGGTGTGCCCACCATCTGTAGTAAGATAGAGATCTGGAAAAGTATGCAATATACATGAAATGACTAAAGAACGGTGATTTCTGAAAGTTTAATAAGTTTAATGAGCTTTTTTTTTTAAACACTCCTAATTTTTAATCAAAGCGGGGCTACCACCCACATAATCGCAGTGGCAGAAAAGAGTTTTTAAGCAGAGTGCATGTATTCTGAATGGAATCGTGGAGCTACGATACAAAAGGCATGCACAGTGCCACAACACAGCCCCTTGCTTGGTAGAAAAGCAGCCGGAAAACGAAACAATCGCCGGGTTTGTTCTGAGGCAGAAGGTGAAGCTGCTCCAGCCGGGGACCCTTTAAGCCGGCGCTTGGTGCACTGCCAAGAAGACAGCTGTTGGAAGTGCTTCCTCACCCAAAGCTGTCAAACCAGACATTAAAGGGACAGCAGGCTCTGAAACCAGGGACGGATCACCAAGTTTATGGCGACGGTCATACAGACCAGCGCATCTACACACGCGAAACCACGTTTCAGCCCAAGTGGACTTCTCCGAGGGCACGGACAGGAGATGTTTCTGGGCATTTTAGGTTCTGGCGGTGCAAGCGCTGCTCTCAGCGGTCATTATCCTGCTCCAGCCTTCCCAGATCACGCCTAAGGGCACGCACGGTCATCCCCCACCAACCCCCTCCCCACGGTGACCGTGTGACAG